GCGGGGGGCTGGCAGGGGTCCCCCCATGGTCCCCTCCCCCCTCCTTCAGCCCCCACCCCCTACTTACCAGCTCCGAGTCCGGCTGCAGCTCCCTGCTGCAGCCACCAGGAGCTGTCCAAATCACCAAAGCTCTCCAAATCTTTTCTGAAGATTCAGAGAGCTTCAAAGTGATTTGGACCTTTTAATTGGTCCCCTGATTTGATTCGGATTTGGAGATTTGGCCACCATATCTCCTCCGAATCAAATCACCAACCAAAGCTTCGCACAACCCTAATGCCAGTACATAGAAGGAACATTTTTGAAGTCCAAAGAAAGTTTTGTAGAACAGTAAAATCATTTTACTTATAGCTCCAGATATAATGTGTTTAACAACAATGAAACTACATTTCCCAACAATCAGGCTGAAAAATTGCTGTCATGTCAAATCTATATACCAACAGAACCTCCATAATGAGTCTGACTGCATTTAGACCTGGGTGCTATTTAACAACCCATTATAAAAAGATAGCATCAACATGCAAAATACTAACCCTAGAACCTACTTAGATCAACAGTAACATAATTCTGGAAGGTCTGATTCACCACTTATTTACATCAGTGGAATCTATGTAAAGTTATTTCTCATTAACAAAGATATAAATAATCCTCCTTTTATCTTTCCCTTGTATGTGTGTGACAGAGATTTTAAGTGGCAAAATTTAAAGAAAAATTCCTTCTAGTCTAAGAAGTATATTATATGTACTATTGTAATTAAAGAAATGTCATTAAATAAGTAAGTCATTAACCTATTTATCTGTAACTACTGGGAGGCTAGACAATCAACTCTGCTTACATCTGCAAGTATATTCTGATGCTCACAGCTGCTGTTAAGATTTAACAATCTTTCCGTTCTTGCATAGGCAGTCCAGGGTTATAAACTAAAGTATGTGATTACACTATAATGAGATGTTTGAACTATTCCTGGAAAGCTTGCTGCACCTAATAAAAGGTTTTAACCATAGTGACTTTTCCAAATGATAACGTATGTGCCAATTACTCACTGTGCCTTTTCAAAATGAATGCTGATTTTTCAATTCCCTCTGCAGTCTTTTCAAGAGTGAAAACGATCACAGATTTTCAGACAGGTTTCTCCAGCTTTCTGTGGATTTTTAACAAATGCACCAAACAAATGCATGGCAATTCAGTTAACTCTGCTCGGTAGGTTCTCAGGTTTAAGGATAGTGTAGCTCTATTTTGTTTTTAAGAGCCATATTTTTCTTGAATGTTCTGGTAGTAAGTGATCAGTGCAGTAGCCAAAAAAGAAAAAGGATAAGATCTTTAAAGGACATAGAAAACTTACCACAAAGAAAGACATGTAGTAGTATTTTCAATGATGCCTTAAGTGCCACTTTTCACCAATTGCAAATTTTAAAAATTCTGCTAGGCACCCAATTCCCAGTGTCAATTAGAGCCCAAATACCTTTAAAAATCAGAATCCATGCAGAAGTCTTGATCAAGGGGAGAGAAAAAATGGTTTTGTGGGCCAAGGCTCGACAGCATATATTTCCTATATGGTCTTAGTCAATATGCTAAAGGCTAGATCCATAAAAGGACTGAAGTGTTGCAAAGTTCAGCATTGCTGCCCCTACCTGTTGGACACTGACCTCAGTAGTGAGATTTCGATTTGGACACCTGGGATTCCTATGTAGTGAACAGAGAGAATTTGGGGTATCATGAGTAGGTAACAGGCAGCAAGGTGAGCAGGTAGATGCTTGAGGTAGCTAGGAGCCTGAAGATAGGATTATGTCTTAAAACCAACCCCTTTCCAAGATTTAAGCATTTCCCTCTACTTTAGATTCACCACCCTGAGCCCTCGTTTCGAACGATGCACCTAGTTTTTCAAAAGAAGAAGGATC